GAGGAGAGGTGTATAAAAACGTAGAAATGGGAATGGGGAGGCAGCAGGTGGTGTAGTGGTTACAGTTGCTCGACTCCCGCGTGGCTGACCATGGCTCAAGTCCTGGACCTAGAGGCTTAAAATTCACTCAGGGCATGTGTGCGTGCATGCCCAAAGTCCTGAGAGGAGAATGGAGGATAAGGGATTCCAGCATGGCTATCCCCCCAGCTGAGAGTGATTTCTCACTTTCTCTTTTTCTGTCTCTCTCTCTCTGTCTCTGGTGAGTGCGTGTGCCCTACAGCAAAAATCTCTCTCTTTTAAAAAAAGTAGGGAATGGGAGAGTTTAGATTCACCATTTACTGTGTGACCAGGGCAGTTACATCAAATCTTTAAACTTCAGTTTATTCACTTGTAAAACCGAGATAATTTTAATTCTCTGGAAGTGTTCTACCGAGGAGAGCGTAAAGATGTAGAATACTTAGAATAAATGAGCACTCAGCAAAACTTCCATAGCTGTTATTACTATTGTAACAGTGTGACTTTCAGATAGGAGAAAAGATAAGGAGATGAAGGAAGTTTGCGGGGGAAACAGGACAATTGAGTTCACAACTTTTTTTTTTTTTTCTCTGAATGTGCCAAGAGAGTGAGATGAGAGGAGAATGGAGGATAAGGGATTCCAGCATGGCTATCCCCCCAGCTGAGAGTGATTTCTCACTTTCTCTTTTTCTGTCTCTCTCTCTCTGTCTCTGGTGAGTGCGTGTGCCCTACAGCAAAAATCTCTCTCTTTTAAAAAAAGTAGGGAATGGGAGAGTTTAGATTCACCATTTACTGTGTGACCAGGGCAGTTACATCAAATCTTTAAACTTCAGTTTATTCACTTGTAAAACCGAGATAATTTTAATTCTCTGGAAGTGTTCTACCGAGGAGAGCGTAAAGATGTAGAATACTTAGAATAAATGAGCACTCAGCAAAACTTCCATAGCTGTTATTACTATTGTAACAGTGTGACTTTCACATAGGAGAAAAGATAAGGAGATGAAGGAAGTTTGCGGGGAAACAGGACAATTGAGTTCACAACTTTTTTTTTTTTTTCTCTGAATGTGCCAAGAGAGTGAGAGAGAAAGTTCTGGGATAGGAGTCAGTAAGACCAACGTGGTAAGATTCTTGCTGGTAAGATCAAATTCAGAACAGCCCTAGCTGCTCTTGTCGTAGTTCTCAACTGAGGCTGATCTTTCTGTTTCTAGAAACATGGAAGGGTGTGCCACTGGCCACCAGGAAGGTGACATGCCTAGCGGTAAGCGAGATGGTCATGCAACATGGAGAATTACTCCCCTTCGCATGTTTTTACTATGATTTTACTAAAATTGTCAGTAAGACAATCAAGAGTTTTTTGGTTGTATTACTGGTTGAATGAGATTTCTACACATGTGCATAGTTCAAACCACCACTCTTTTATCTCTGTGCTAGTTTTGGAATTGTGCAAAAAGATGTTACTCATTTTCTTCATTTGGACCACATGGTTCTATGTAGCATACCTCTGCAAAGATACTGAAATAGCACAAATATCAAAAAGGAGCTCTCTGACCAAAGTGTTTCCCACTGAGTCTGCTTGCCCCAAATCTTCATACCCTACCAAGAGCTTCTAAGAATCTATTTTTGAGAATTAAAAGTAGTATCCTTTTTTGCAGTTCACAGTAAAAACAGACTTCAAGAGATTAAGTAAATTGCCTTAAGATCTGAGACAGCGAATGCTAGAGCTGAGCTTCAGACCCAAGTGTTCTGACTGTAAAATTCAGTTTCTTGGCTATTACACAAAAAAGCCTGAGTCAGTACTTTGTAGGTTTTCTAGTCATACTTGGCTCCTTCTATATAATATATAAAACACTCTAATGATTTCAGGTTACTTCTTCATCCCAAATGTCTGAAACCCTGTGTTCAGTTCTTAGGTTGAATATTCACTGCGTCTGTTAGTGAGAGGGTGTTGCTTTTCTTCTTTGCCATGCCATCATAAAAATAAAGCGCTTGTGATAGAAATTTGCTCTCATGTTCTTTGATATTAAATTTAATAGTTCTATCAATGGTACTTAGACGTTTTTATTCTCAAGAGAGATTTTCAATTACATCATATCAAAAATCAGATTGTTTCTTTTTCTCTTTTTGCTGTGCTTAAAAAAAAAGATGTATAGGGAACCAGCAGTTAGCGTAATGGCTATGTCGCTGGACTCCCACGTAATCGACCGCGGTTCGCGTCCTGGACCCGGTGGCTTAAAACTCACGCCAGGCGCATGTGCGTGCGTGCCCAAGATCCCGAGAGGAGAATGGAGGAGAAGGGATTGCGGCGTGACCATCCCCCCTGGGGGGTGATTTCTCGCTTTCTGTCTCTATGTCTCTCTCTGTCTGTCTGGCGAGCGCACGCGCCCTATAGTGAAAATCTCTCCAAAAAAAAAAAAAAAAGATGTACATTGCCAGGTAAAGGTAGATGTCAGAAGTGCTGTCTGGTGGGCTTTGGCCCAATGTAGTGACTGACAAATGCCCCACATTAAGAATTTGTGTTGTAGTATCTTCTCTCTGCTCCCTAAATTCCCATCTCATAATTTCATTCTCAACAGCCTAAGAAACTGCAATTTCTTCCCTTTGACGTGAAATAAAACAGATCTAGTCATTGCTTGTATTTATGCTCAACAACAATAAAATTTTACATTAATATCCCTGCTATTTGTGCTTAGCGGTCACAATTAACTTTTAACATTTTTTTTATTTTATGTATTTCTTCCATAAGCAAGAGAGAGAGAGCACAATATCTTACTCCACAGCCTTACTTTAGTGAGAAGAGTAGAGGTCTTCATGAATTATACAGAATTACAGTGCAGTTTTCATAGTGTTTAAAAAACTATTATAAAAATATTTCGCCTTGGGAACCAGCAGTTAGCGTAATGGCTATGTCGCTGGACTCCCACGTAGTTGACCGCGGTTCACGCCCCAGACCTGGTGGCTTAGAACTTGCGCCGGGCGCGTGTGTGCGTGCCCAAGATCCTGAGAGGAGAATGGAGAAGGGATTGCAGTGTGACCATCCGCCCTGAGGGGTGATTTCTTGCTTTCTGTCTCTATGTCTCTCTCTGTCTGACGAGCACATGCGCCCTATAGCGAACCTCTCAAAAAAAAAAAAAAAGTGAATATTAGGAGGTAACAGTAATTGGGACTATTTTTGACCCTCCTGAATGCTAGGTGCAGGTCTGCAGCTCATAAAAATATACTCATGTACAGGTATGCCTAACAACTGAAATGAATTGCAGTGGTGTTACATTTTTATTTATCTATCTATTTATTTATTTATTTATTTATTTTTATGGAGAGATTTTTGCTATAGGGTACACGTGCTTGCTGGATAGAGACAGAGAGATAGAAAGTGAGAAATCACTCCCCCCCAAGGGGGATAGCCACTCTGCAATCCCTTTTCTTCCTTTCTCCTCCCAGGATCTTGGGCACGCATGCATACTTGCCAGACATGAGTTTTCATTGCTGGATCCGAGATTCAAACTGCAGTCTACTATGTGGGAGTCCAGCGATGAAATCATTACTCCATCTGCTGGTCCCAGTGGTGTTATATTTTTTTTAAAAATTAGTTAACTATGTACCAATATCTATAATTATTACTGGAGTCCATCAGTTTTCCCCATTTCCAGGTATAAAACTCAAAACCTTGCATGCAGTAGACACTGCCCTTCTAGTCCTTAATGGGTAGGAGTTCCTATAGCTAGTTTGAAAGTGAATTGCCTCATTTCTTCTTTGCACATCTTTCAAACTGAAAAATAAAAGAGCTATTTATTCCTTCTCTCTCTCTTTTTTTTTTAAATAAAGTTTCAGCTCTTTAGCTAATATTTTGCAGGTAACAGAAATATTACTAAATTCTCTTCTAGAAAATAGTCACAATAGTAAGTAGATCAAGTCTGTGTTGTTCAGGGAACAAGGAGATTTTTGTTGTTTCTTGTAAAGGAGTGATCCTTTTGAGAGCAGGGTCCTGAATGCAGGTACATGTTAAATTGTCCTACAAGGATGTAAATTGTGAAACAATGAAAGCATTGTGTTCAGGATTTGAGGCTCCAATTAGCTTCTCAAAGCCATGCTATCTTTCTCTTCAGGGAGAGTGTCTCTGGTGCTTCAGAAGAACATGACACTTGAAAAAGTTTAAGTTTGAATAGCTTTTAGGAAACTGCCAGAATTCTGCTTAGACATTCTTGCTGCAATAGCTTAGCTGTTACTTAAGAAAAATATGACCCCCACTCCTGTTTCAACTATTGCAAGCGCTGAGGTTTTCTTTTTAATGAAACTTTTTTTAAGAATTATTTTATTTAACTTTATTTTTAAATTTGACCAGAGAGGGAGAGAGGGAGTGGGGAGAGAGCGGGAGAGCGAGAGAGAGAGAGAGACCAGCAGGTGGCGTGGTGGTTAAAGGCGTTGGACTCCCACTTGGCGCTGTTTTATTAGAATTTAGTGTATCTTAAAAAGACAGGCTGCCTGAGATTAATGAGAATCTTAGCAGCACAATTGGCAGCTCAGGCCACCGTTTTCGTAACAAATCTCCACGTTTTCGCTTGCGTCTTTCAGTACTGCCCTCAGGACAAAAGGTGGGGGGGGCGTCAGGGACACTTGCTGCTGTAAGAAGAGACTATTTGTGTGGCCTGTTTACAGGTTACTCGGTTTCAACATCAAGTTAGCCTTTCTCCAAATCTCGGGCGAACCTCCCGCCTGAGGTCACACACTTAAACGCCCGGGTGGCTCGCAGGAGCCAGCATGGCAGCTTCCCCAGGGCCGGTACACAGGAATTTCTCCCGCAGGGACCAACACCACGTGGACTCAGGGACTTCAGCTTCACTCCCCTGTGGGCACCGGGAAGGGTGATCGCGGCGACGCTCCAGGCAACGCCTCTGCTGCCAACCAATGAGAAACAGAGGGCGCGTCGGGGCCTTCGCTCATTGGGCCGCCCCGCGGTGATCCGGAGCCTCCCAGCCGGCTAAATAGTCTCGGCCGCGAGTCCCGGTGCCCGGCTTTTGTGCGCGTGTCGTCAGCTCAGACGGCGTGCCTTCAGCCGCCTTTCTCCTAATTTTCCCCTCTCTCCAGCACTGACGCCTCGTTTTCCTAACTCTATCATCCTCGCTCTTTTACTCTCTCCTCCCTTCGCGATTCAGCATGCAGAAAAAGGACGCTTCCCCACATGGTTTCCTGCCTAGCTTCCAGCATTTCGCCACGCAGGCCATCCATGTGGGCCAGGAACCAGAGCAGTGGACCTCCCACGCTGTGGTGCCCCCCATCTCACTGTCCACCACGTTCAAGCAAGGGGCGCCGGGCCAGCACTCGGTGAGCTGGGTCTGTCTGGGGCGGTTCAGAGTTGGGCGGGGAAACAGATCGCTTATAAATTAAGAAGGCATGCAAATAATTTATAAGGTAATTTATAAATTAGGAAGACACCCGAAAAGATGTTCCTACACAGTAATCCTTGCAGTAAAGCTTTGTATTGGATGTTCCAGTGATCGTATTTCTTTTGGTAAGTAGTTATCAAAAAGGAGGAGGAGTTGGAACAACTCTCCATATAGATCTGCACTGAAATGTATGTGGTTTCGGTAAATTTGCAACTCTAAATGAGGGTCACGACTTCATTTAATTACTTTTAGCTGCAAAGAATTTTAAAGATACTGTAAGGAGTCAATTTAAAAAATACTAATGGTCTGTCAGTTCACCTAGACCAAGATTGTTCTCAATAGCACTTTTCAGGTAATAGTTATTGAGTACCTACTATGTGCCAAATACATATATTTATACATATAATGTGTATTATACAGATTGTCTCATCTAATTTTAACAACAATCCTAATCTGAACTAAATTCTCATTTTTCTGATAAACTGTCTGAGATTTTAGGGCTGTTCATAACTATCCTAAGGCTAGTTAAATGGTGGAACTGGGATTCAAACCCTGTTCTAGAGCACTGGGCTTTACTGTGCTATACTCCAGTAATGCTAGTAATAATTTAACACATTGCATCATGTAAGCAGTGTGGCTTAGTAATTAAGAGCAAAAGTCATGTAGTCAAAGGACCTTGGTGTTAATTCTGACACTACCTTTGCTGAGCTTGGTGACTTTGAGCAAGTTCCTTAACGTTTCCAAGCCTCAGATTGATCCTGTATACATGGGGCCGATAATAATAGCTATCATATAAGTTGCTGAGATGTCTATGAAGCTGTGCGATACATCATAATTCCTCAGTGGTGGTTTGGTGTTTCTTGGTGTTCACATTTACACTATCTCCTTTGACCCTCACAACAACCAGATCACAGGGCAAGTGTAAAAGGTAATGTATACTCTTTATAGAAAGGAACTAATCCAGAGTCATATGTAAATGACTTGTAAAGACTATGAAAGAACCCTTTTTGTTAATCACATGGTTTCTTTTCTTCTTGGTGGTGTACTTAATGGATCTTGCAACATTTAAGATTTGCTGAAGTTCAGTAGGAATTAGTTAAATGAACTTTGTAGGTCCATAACTTTCAAAAACCACTTACATAAATTGAATAAAATTATTATAGATCCTTTGTTTTGTATGGGACAATTCTTTTTTTTTTTTTTTTGGAGGGGTTTTTGCTGCAGGGCTTGTGCGCTCAACAGAAAGACAGAAAGAGACAGAGACACAGAAAGCAAGAAATCATCCCCCAGGGGGGATGGCCAGGCCGCAATAAGCCGCTGAGTCCGGGGGACTTGAATTGTAAGAAATCATCCCCCAGGGGGGATGGACAGGCCGCAATAAGCCTCCGAGTCCGGGGGACTTGAATTGTATCGTAATCGCCTACATGGAAGTCCAGCGACATAGCCTTTACGCTAACTGCTGGTCCCTGTATGGTACAATTCTAAGGACATTTCTGCAACAGGTTTAGATTGCCCCTAGCAAATGTGTACACAATCTCTCTTCCAAGCATGGAGTTTGATCCTGCTATAGGGTTTAGTGAATATGTGACTACCCAAGCATTGGAACTTAGTATAAAAATTAACCATCTGAGTATAATATTAAATCTTAAATGTTTTCTAAAAGGTAGGAGAGATGGTTAAATCCATAAGACTCTGCTTAATACTTTAAAAATAATCATTTGAGAATACTAAAGGAAATTTGAAGAATTGAATGAGAAACATCTGATAGTCTAGTTCCATTCGGAAAGCCATTGAGTGATGTAGCAATTTCAACTGAACTGTGCTGCTTTTTCTTCCATAAGTTTCACATCTGCAGTGAATATAAGATGAAAACATGCAGTATCTTTTTGTGTCAGTAGCCTCATGAATTCAAGCATTTTTATTTTTGTTTGTTTTTCTATCCAGGAAAGCTGCAGGTCATGGGTTAAGATGATGGTGGGAGGATATGGTGAGGATACTCTGGAATCCTACCAAATATATCTCCTCAGTTAGTCAACAACAAGGAAACAAAGCAACACAACTTTTCAAAATTATTATTACTAATACTGTGAGCTCCTGAGTCACAAACAAAGATGCAAAGAGTGATTGTGTTTTGTTACGTGCAATAGGAGGAAGGGGAGAAAATTATAGGATCTTTAATCATTGTGCAAATCCCAGGTTTGAATTCTGGCTCTGACACTCTGGGTCCTCTAACATTTGGCTTCGCTTTCCTTAAATTAGATCAGGAGGATTAATAAAAAGGATGAATACAGCTAGTACGGTGCTGTATGTGTGACAAAAACATAATGCAAATTTTAAAAAATTATTATGTGGAGATGCTTTGCCAAGGATTACTCACTATTTTTTGAGTCACTTTTGTAGAGCCAACATCTGAACTCTGACCATTTGTTTGTAGCTTCCTGTTGAATGTTATGTAAACTTGCCTCGCTTACTTCTTTGAAATGAAACACAAGCTAGAATGAAGTTTACTTCCTTGGCTCCTCTAATTCCTTTTTTCCTGATGTCTCCAGATTACTGTAAAGATGAATCTAACATCAAAATATTACCACTGGGACCAGCAGATGGCATGGTGGTGGTTAAGGTGCTGGACACTCCCACATGGCCTACAGTGGTTCAAATCCTGGACCTGGTGGCTTACTTTCTCACTTTTCCCCTCTCTCTCTGCATGTGTGTCTCTCTCTGGTCAAATTAAATGAATGAATGAATAAAATTAAATAAATAATTTAAAAAAGTAGTACTACTAATACAAATTGCCATTTATCTAGTGGCCAGCACATGTTGGGAACTGCATGCAGTGACCTTTCACATTATCTTGTTTTTTTAATATATTATTTTATATTTGTGAGTTATATATTTGTATTTTATTTAGCATTTTACAGATGTAGAGATTGGTAGTTGAAGTATTGAATTTTGAAAAAAGTGAGTAATTTCCCTATGGGCAGTTTGGTTGATTTCAGAGCCTCTCACATCACTGTAGCCATAACACTATCATCCTTCAGTCTAATGACTAGATGTATCATGACTACATAGGAGAAAAATCATGGCAGGATGAACTTGTAGTTGTGGGGGTGGCTATGTTAGGATTCTAATGACCAACTTGTATCTGTTAGGATAAATGCCAACTTTTTTTTCTTTAGGGGTTTGAATATAGCCGTTCTGGAAATCCCACTAGGAATTGTTTGGAAAAAGCAGTGGCAGCACTGGATGGGGCTAAGTACAGTAAGTAATTTCCATTTCAATGTTTGCAAAGTCTACAGTTCATTTTTCTGTATATAGAGAAAATCGTAGAGGTACATAATGAAGAACTGGAAAGAAAGAAAGGTTTGCTAGTTCAGACCTGTTACTTGTACTGAGATATTGAATTCTTTGCCTAAAATCTCTCCATTGGTATACTATGCAGATGTATAATCATTAGGTACAAATAAACATGAATACAGACAAAATGCTGGCATTTAGTAATTACTATTCATGTGAATACTGTCTTCATCAGAAGCTGTCAGTGTAAATAGATAAAAATTAACTAAGTTTTATAGTAGTAAAATGAGATTAACTTTTTTATACTCTGGTTCATTCACCTGATAATTTGTTGCCTGAGAATATCACCAAAGACCATTTGCAATAGTCAACAACCCCTGATAATGTACTCTTAGAGAACAGAATTGACTCCTTTAAACCTTTTTTTTTTTCTCCCCATGAATGGAGTAGATTGTTGTCAATTCTTAAAAGTGTATATATATATAATACTCAGCAAGTGTGTG